CCCCTCCCCCTCCAGGTACCGCCCGCCGAACCCCAGGGGCGGACCCCCGAGGCCCCGGGGAGCCCCTCTCCGGGTCCCCTCCGCCCCCGCCGCGCGGAGCGCAGCTCCCGTCCCGCCCGCCGGGATTCACGTCTGCACCCTCTTTCCTCCGCTGACGCTCAAACCGCGACTCCCGGTTGCCTCTCTCGAACCCGCCCACGGGCGCAGCCACAGCCCGAGAGCAGAGCGCCCCGAAGGCGCGGGAGAAACGCGCCCTCTTCCCGGGTGGGCGGCGGTCGGCGGTCGGGGCTGAGCCCTGCACCCGGGTCCTCCGGGACCGCAGTCCCAGGATTTCCAGGGGCCGCTCGGAGCCCAGGATTGGCCGGCGGCGGGCCAGGCAACCAATAGCATCGCCGAGTTTTCTCCTCACCAGTTGCTGGGTAGAATACACAGACCCTGCTTAAGTATTAAACAGCCTCAGCTGCAAAGAGCCTTTGAGATGATCTGGCGATTTTAGTTCCCTTTTCTCTTCTCAGAGGCAATGCAATTTTTTAATTATTTTTATTTTGCACAGTCTTGCGATTCCATGTGGATTTTGGCTTCGCTGCTAACTAGAGGACAGAGGCCTGTATGTGTACACCTGCAACACGTGTGTGTGTGTGTGTGTGTGTGTGTGTGTGTGTGTGTGTGTGTGTGTGTGGTTGGGATTGGGATTGGGTTTGGGATGGGCCGGTGTTGAGGGGGACATAAGCACCCTTTTTCCCAAGCCAAGGAATCTCTTGCAAGTTGCTGAACTGTGAGGGGCCAGAGAGAGATGGGGGTACACAGGGAGGGGCTGGGGATAGAGAATGGAGCCAGCAGCTGTGATGGAAACCCTGGGACTCACACAGAAACTTTGAAGTGAGAGACCTGAGGATACTGAGCGAGAGTCCAAAGCCCTTTCTTTCCCTCCGCAGGTGGCACTCCAGTGCCCTCAGGACAATGGCAGTGGAGAAAGACTTCCTGTCTGCCACTTGATGGTCTGGTGGGACCCGGCACCCCTACACCCACACAATGCTCCCTTCCTCTGCCCCGCAGATCCCAATCTGGCCATTGTGTACATTTTTTCTACAAGAATCTTCCCAAGGCACAATTCTTAACATTCCCACATGTGCCTACATGCTTTCTCTGGAGGCCTCTCATTCCCTCCTGACTCAGTTTGACAAGCAATTAGCACACTAGCAATGACCCCACTGGGAATTATTCCATGACTGGGGCTCTGTTCCCCATGACATTCCCTTCACCTGAATTGTTCTCTCACATCTGCCTCCTGCTATACTTACTCCAATTGTTCCCAGCATGGAGGGCTCTCAGCTTCTACTGACAGCCATCAAAGAATGGCAACCTGGATCCCACCACTGCAGGAAACTCAATTCTGCCAACAATCAGAATTAGCAAGAAACAGACTGCTCCCTAGACCCCCCCGAAAGGGGCCCAGCCTGCAGACACGTTGATTTCAGCCCAGAGAGAACCATGCTGGGCTCTCACCTACAGAAATGTGAGGTAAGAAATTTGGGTTATATTAGGACATGAAGTTTGTGGTTATTTATTACACCAGCAACGCACAACAAATACATAAGGATTTTGTGAAAATGTTACCAGAAGATAAACTGTGACCCGGTGGTGAGTCACCTGTGGGAGCTGAAAATCTAGAAGAATCTCAGTGGAAGAGTGAAGATTATTGACCAATTTATTTAGCAAATGTAACCTGACAGCCACCTGCAGGGTAGAGGGGACACAATGGTGAAGAGTCACAGTGAAAATGCTGATGGTGGCTTTTCCCCAGGACCCACCAGTTCAAAGGAACCTCTGGTACCATCAAGGAATGACCAGCAGTGGAGTGTCCCTTGTCTGGAGATGGCTCTACAGTGTGATAAAAATCCCACTGAAGTTCATCTAGCTCCCTTCTCCCCAAACTCAGGTTTCTCAGATGACCTTTAGGTATGAAGTTGGAGGGCTGGTTGGGCTCAGTGATCGCAGGTCACATGTTGGTTAAGAGGTTGGCCTCTCTAGTCCCTGCTCAGCCCTGTGTGACATGGTCACTGTGAATTCATCCCTGGACAAAGTCATTCTGCACAGCCAGGCAGTGAAGCTCTGGACCATGGCTCTGACAGTGGACCCTGAAGGAACCAAGTGGGGTGTGGCCTTCATAGTCACCTACAGTGACCTTTACCCTTGGTGCCCTGAGAAGGGAACCTCAGGACTACACATGGCCCTGCCCAGCAGGAACAATGGCTGCTAGGAACCGACTAGAGGTAGAGGGAGGGGGCAGAGGCAGAACATCTTCCAGCAGCACTACTTTCAGTGTGAATGATATATATCACTTAACTTGGCTCTGTCTCAGTTTCCACACTTTCACTGAGGCACCTCACAGGGGTGTTGTGAGGATTAGTGAGTGAAATCAGAGAAGCACTCAGCACAGCACCCAGTACATTTTAACTTATCTATAAATGTTAGCTGTGGTTGTTCTTTGAGTGTTGAAGTCCCTTTGTGGTCACCAGAGAATGTCACTGGACAGAGGACCTCACCCTGAGTGGATCTGCCAAGGGCCAGCTGGTAGTGTGTAGGTTCTTGACTTCATGTAGAACAAATTTCACAACAGGAGTGTAGGTGAATTTTAGAGGATTATTATTAAAGTTGGGGACAGTGAAACAAGGAAGGGTCACGGAAATGAGCCTCGGCTGGGCTGCTTTGGTTCAACAGAGCTCAAGGAAAAGCGCTGCCCACAGAGTTTAGGAGATGTGTGCTTGTGGTGGAAGAAGAGGGGTGGGAGGCACAAGGGAGAGTGTGGGCTGGGACCTTTGTTTTGAGGGGTCTAAAAGGCTGGGAGTTTGGGGGAGGTCTTAGGAGAGGATCTCAACAGAATATGCATCAGCTTTATGCTGATACCAAAATGAAATTTATTCTCTTGACTTCATCTGTCCTTGGGTGTGGTTGGCAAATGGCACGAATTTGATTTCTGCTGTCTCCCTGACTAGGGTGATTTAAGCTATTGAACCGCTGGTTGGGGAGGAGAAGTGCAAAGTATTTCCTCTTAAGTGTCCCTGGTTTAGGGAAGACAGGATTTACTACATGGCTGCAAACTGCTGTTTAAGTGTCTGTCTCAGTTTCCCTCTTCTGCTTGTCCTGGCTTACTAGCTTGTCTTAGTTCCAAGCCAGCTGAGTCACCTTAGGAAAGTTAATTCACCTTCCCCATGCTCCACTCCTTATCTGTCATGTGGGAAAAATTGAATGAATCTCAGTGAAGTGCTTCACTCAGTGTTTTGTTTTGGACATTCTCCAATCATTTTATTATCTTGTTTCATGGTGCCATATTACTATGCCTTTCACACCGTTTACCAGTCCCACTTCCATAATTCAAATGCCAAGAAATTACTACACATTCCCTTATACAGTCAAAAATAGACTTACTGGAATGTTTTTAGTCACAGCTGAAGGCAGCAGTGTTCATAGCACTTAGCTCTCGTTACACCCATAAAGGTGGAAACTGCAAAGCAACTGTAACTAGAGAAGCGCTTTGCGAACATGGGTGGCCTGGCTACACAGGCTTCCTGACCCCCACCTGAGTGCAAGAGCACAGGTCCTCAGGCCATGAAGGAAACGGTAGGAAATCTCCTATCAGTGTTGAACTACAGACACAGACAGTGAACTGGCAAGCATCTCGTTTCAGATTAGATCCTTGGAATGTGGCAAAACAGAGGCTGGCTGTCCTGGCCTTGAACATAATTATTAAAAGCACATTTTGCTAGAAAGGAAAACGATACTGGACATTCTCAATGCTCCAGTTTGAAGTGATACTTGCCTCTTAGTTTCCTGAAAAAGAAGCTTTGAAAGTTATATACATGGGTTTCATTTAAATTATACAGCAGCCTGGCTGGGCTTGGCTCAGCAGTTGAGCATCGACCCGGGATTCTAGGCGATCAGGGTTTGATTCCCACTCAGGGCACGTGCCCCTGTTGCGGGCTTTGATCAATGACTCTCCCATCATTGATGTTTCTATCTCTCTCTCTCTCCTTCTCCCTTCCTCTCTCTGGAATCAATAAAGATATGTAAAAATAAAAATTTGTATCTTTAAAAAAATAAAAATAAATTATACAGCAATCTTTTATTATTATTATTGTCCCAGGCTTTGTTTAATGAAGATCTCCGTCATCAAATCAAGTGCGGTATTTCACAACTGTAAGAATGAAGATCACCAATAAAAGGATGACTGCAGCCAGCGCCATGGTGGCTCTTAGTTTGCATCCATGCCACCACAACTGCCCCCGAAGCTGTTTGGATCTGTTGCTAAAAGCGGTTCTGTCATCCGATAAGCTTTCTGATTTGTCCTGAAGTTCATCTCATCTCTCCCCTCTTTCAATTACCTTTGTGATATTTTCTTGCATGACATCAATAACTTCATCCACCTGGTTCTGAACATGCTTAATTTTATCATTTCTCAGAACAACTCTTGGTCCAGACGGTCCCCTTAGAAAAAAGTCCTCTTCTTCACCTGAATCATCTTCCAAAAGATTTCTCCTTTCACTTTTCACAGAACCAGTGACATCGTCATCATTTAGGTGGCGCTTGAACTTGGGAGGCATGTTTTTCTCACCCTACAGCACTCTTTTACTTCCCCGCAGAGTAAGAACGCAGCACCTGAGTCCCCGAGGAGGCCTCGTGTGGCGGGAAGCGAGCAGCCAGTGGAGCAAGAAGGCAGGGAGCTGAGGCAGTGGGCGTCCAGGTGGCGTGGCCACGCGGCCACAGCTGCCCCCGGGCTCATCCACTCAGTGTTTTTAGAAAGTACTTTATCACTGTGACACTTTGCTCTTAAGGAGGCCCTGGGCTCCAGGCTGGGCAGCGAGAAGCAGAGACGTTACTTCAGCTTGAGGGTCCTCATTCCCATCAGCTGAGCCTGAGGCCACTGTGGTCTCCAGGGAAGGGTCAGGCACTGGGACAGTCACAAGGGCATTCCCTACTTCTCTTTGGGCTGGGCAAATGGTCAAGGCAGTGGGATCCCAGAGCAAAATCCTGAAAACAGGCCACAGAGGCCCAGAGAAAGAGGTGTTTTTGAAGGTGTAGATATGTGATCCATCGATGGCATTGTAGAATGACACCTCCCCCTTCTCATAGTCCAGGAAAACCCCAACTCTTTGAGGAGGAGGGTCACCAAATGACAGTGGGGTCCGGGGCTCCGTGAGAGCCTGGCAGTCATTCACCTTATACATCCCCGCTATCCAGAATCCACTCTCGGGGTTTAATTTAATTAAACATTTTCTCTCCACATTCTCTCTACACACCCCAACATACCACTGTGTTCTCCCTACCACGTCCACCTCCCAGAAATGTCTGCCGGTCGTGAAACTCTCACAGCCCAGCACACAGAAATTCCCAGAAAACCTTCTGGGGTTGTCTGGCAGGCTCTGCTCTGTGTCTGTCCACTGCAGGCTCCTGCGGTCCTCAGAAACAAGGAGATTGGGGTGCGCAGTGTCCGGGTCCAGAATAACATCCGCTGAAGAGGGTTCAGAGATGGAGTGGGATCAGCCATGGTTCCGGGTCCTCAGAGCCTCAGCCTTCAAGGCTGAGCCCAGAGCGTGAGGTCCCCAGCCTGCCCTGATGTGACCCTCAGCAATGCCAAGAGAAACAGCAGGCGCCTTTTGTCTGTGAGGAAGGGGAGGCAGGGGAGGGTGGGGGTCTGCCTAACCTGCCTCTTCAGCTGGTGCCTTCCTTCTACCTTTTTCCTGTTTCCCTCCCCAAATGTCCATGCCCACCTGTGCTGTATAGTCACATAGATTCAAATTCCAGCCCTTGCTCTACCCTCCTGAGCTGGATGACTTCCTTCTCTGCACAGTCTCTTTTCCTACAGACCCAACCTATGTAGGATCTCCACTCTCAATTTTATATCTGTAAAATAGGAGTAAAAATACTGATTTCTAAGGTAGAACAAGATGAAATGTGCTATATTTAACCCAAGGCTGGTCATGAAGGAAGTGCCTGGTGTGATAATAGAGACCATGTCTCTGCTGTGCTTGGGGACATGCTGGGGGCTCTACATGCTCTGGGATCCACTCCCCAGCTGTCCCCACCCTCTGGCCCCAGGAAGGAGTCCTTTTTGGACAGCACCACTGGGCTCCCTTGCCTCTGGTTACCTGTTGGGTTTGGCCAGGGCAGGTACTAGCTGAAGACTGGGAGCAGAAAGGAAAGAGAGGCACAGCACTGCCTTCCCACCTCCTCCCATGGAGATGCTCTAACAAAGCAGGACTCCTCTCAGGCAGCCTCTTCCTGAGCCTAGCCTACTCCTGGTTCCAGTGAAGTTTCCCAGGCTCTCTGCCTTGGGCCTAAGGGTGGTGACAGCTCCCAAAGTTGTGAGCCCTGGGACAGCATTCATCCTTGGTTTCCCTCAAGGCTACTCCCCACCCCCCACCCCAAGTAGTTCCTTCTGTAAACCCTCTTTAATCACGGTGTAGATTTCCTGTGAACAAAACCAACTCCATGTCTGTGTCATGAATTTTTTTCACCTCTTCATGCTGTGACCTGTGGCCCACCTCACTGTCCTTAGCAAGCACAGCAAAGCCTTTGGGTCATGTTTGTCTGTGTTCCTTAAATGCAGCCACAAACATTTTTGTTAGTAACAGCTAGAATGGCATCACAACCAAGGTCAATACTGTGGACAAAACGGGGTCACATACTGAAACTGATATGCTCTCAGGAGGCCTGCACGGTGGCCTTACAAACTCAGAGAACTGCAGCAATCACATAGGATGTTCTTAGATTAAAACTTTTTAACTAAAGGCAGTTTATGGTGGGTCCTCATGTCCTAGGCTGGAATCTTCCCTGACAAAAGTCAGTCTTGACCTTAATTGAGCTGTGTATTGTCTTTTTGCATCTATGATAACACACCTTTGGAACATCAAGGTAACTTCCCGTTTTCAGGACCTCTCTAGAGCACAGACCATGAATCCCCTCATTGTTACCCTGTTAGCTGTGGACTGTTAACTACCCTGCACCCACCTATGCAAAAGACATATGTGTCTATCATTTCACTTTTTATTATCCAGTCCCAGAGGTTCCCCACCCAGCTTTGCTCTCTCCCGCCTCCCTAACCTATCACCAGTGGATTTCATGTAACCCACTTATGTCTCTTATTTTTTATTGTAAGGTATAAAATAAGGGAGAAAACTACCATTTTCTGAAGCATATTTTAAAATCCACTTAGATTTTGCTTCCTGGCAATTGTCAGTTTGGCTCAAATAAAGTCATAACAATTCTCTAGAGGTTTGAACCAGTCTTACGTTGACAACACCAAACTGGTTATAATATTGGTTATAAAGAACCATCCATCACATGAAGCCCAGCAGGTGTGGCCTGGAGCTGCCACATTCTTTGTCCCTTTGTCCTGTCACTCATGTGTACCCAAGTTATAGTATAAAAAAAAGTATAGTAACTGGTCTGATAGCTGTGATTAATCTGTGTAGATTGTCCAGGCATCTCTCCACTCTGACCTGTCATCCCGGGGAGTAAATCACCCTATAAAAGTGTCTGTTATGTTCTAAGGAGTTGCCAGCATTGCTTTTAGGTCTTAAGATAGCATCTTCTTACCAGGGTCATCATCATTAAAGACCCATTTTGAACTTTCCTGATGGTGTTTTGAACAACAGTCATTCATTACCTCATCTAGTCTTCACCTCAACCCTGACATAGTGGGAATGACCACCATCATCTAAAAGGAGACTAAAGCTCAGAATCCTTGCACAACTTGAGGACACACAGGCACACAGGGCAGGAGGGGGCAGAGCTTGGTCAGGTCACATCCTCACTCTCTTGCCCCTTCCTCCAGCTTCAGCCCTCAGCCTCCTCCTTCCCACACACACCTGGGGACGCCTAGGACAGCAGCTGTCCCTGGTTCTCTGGGGTCTCGGCAGAAGATGGGCCCACCTTGGAGACCAGGACCTCAAGTCACCCACCCAGAACTCTCCCAGTGAAGAGTTAGAGAAGAAAAGGGAGCAGGGCCCTGGGCAGTTGTCCCAGAGGACACACAGTGGTTCACTCACCAGGTTGGTAGGTGGTCTTCAACACTGAAAGGAAGGAGACATAGACAAGGAAAGGCCATTAGTTCTGTGTTCCCCCAACCCACTCTCTTCACTGAGCCTCTTCTGCTTTCCTCCCTCTTTTCCAACATCCAGTTTCCTTCAAGTACAGCTTGTGGATCAGGCATAAAACCTCTCTGAGTGTTAGGCTCCCCTCCATCACCCTGGGTCTGTGGGCGCCATGGCCAGGCTTTGCCCAGGTGTGGGTGTGTCAGCAGGGTGAGGGGACACTGCATGTGGAAGGTCCTCTCTGGGTGTCCAGAAAGGAGGGGGTGGGACTCCACAGAAAATGAGCCTCTGAGCTGGGTCTGATTATCACACACCAGCACAGAGAGGGGTAAATGCTTCCTACACAGGTGCCAGGAAACCAGAGAGGTTGAGTCACTCACCAGCATAGTCCTGAGCCTTCTCACCTGCAAGGGAAGACGGGCAGAGAGTCACCTGAACTGTCATTTTTGAGTCAGTTTCTGTCTCTTCCTTTGCTGGCATCTACTGTTCTGTCTTGACCACACCACCCTTCCTGCCTCTCCCTCTGCCTGTTCCATTCTCTGCTCCCCCCTCCTCTTTGAAATCAACTGCATCCAATGACCCCACAGGCACCGTGTAGGAGCTTTCCCAGCTGTCACCCCAGATCTGTTTTGTACGAATCTATACACAGTCACCCCTTATCCGTGGCCTTTGTTTCTGAAGTTTCAGGTACCTTCCCTCAAAACCTGTCAAAAAGTAATAAATGGAAAATTCCAGAAATAAACCATTTATAAGCTTTAAATTGTACATTATTCTGAGTAGGGTGATGAAATCTGGTTCCATCCATCTCCAACCTGCCAACGCGTGAACCACCCCTTATGCAGCAGGTCCACCCTGTGTACCTCCCCCCGTTAGCCACTTAGGAGCCTCCTGAGATCAGGTCAGCTGTCCAGTGTCACAGTGCTTGTGTTCACATCACCCTTATTTGACTGAGTAAGGGCCCCAAGGCCCAGAGCAGTGACGCAGGCAACTCGGGTTTGCCAATGAGGAGCCTTCCTTCAAGTGAAAAGCAAACATCGGCGTACACACAGGGTGTGGAACTATCCACAGTTTCAGGATCCCACCCCTGGGGTAAGTGGTGCCCATCTCAGTCCTGCACCTGAGCACAGGCTCGCCCTGTGGGTACTGGATAGAGATGTGTGCTGGGGTCCATCTATCTCAATCTGCGTTATTTCCCGCCTACTTCCAAATGAATTGGGAAATTAATGAGAAAACTTCAGATGCTATTGTTTTTTCAGCAGTTAAGACAAACCCTGACAGCTGAGGCTGGAGCCACTCCTCTCGCTAGGAGACACTCTCCTCTCTCCTTCTGCTTCCCCTGAGCAGCTACAGATGCGGTAAAGCAGCAGGCGGGAGGGCAGGCTGCACGCACTGAGCCCATCGCTCCCTTTCCTTTCTGGGGCTCCCTGGACACCCCCGTATGAGGGGCCCCTGGTGCAGACAGACTGAAGTCCCTTCCTGCCCCGAGAAAGGCCCCTGCCCCGGGTTCCCCAGATCAGGGCCATTAATTCTTCCCGGGGCGGGGAGGGGCGAGGAAGGGGCTGGAAATAGCGGAGCAGAGTCTGAGGTGTGGGTCCAGAGTATCACCTGCCTGGTAATGGCTGTGTCTCCATTTTGCAGGAAAAATGGGAGGAGCTGGTCACATGCATAACGCAGGGACCCCAGAACCTGCGAGGCTGGTATCAGGACTTACCAAGTTCTTCCTGCAGCTTCTCTGGAGATAAGAAGAAAAAAAAGCCCTGTTATGGGGATAGAGAGGAGGACCCGAGGGGGGTGCATGGGATGGGGCAGGGAGGTCGCCCTTCCTGCCCCCAGGCTCACCTTTGGCACTTTTCTCTGCCTCCTTCTCCTGCCACAGGGCCTGGATTCTCTTCTGCTGTCGCCACAGGAAGAAACCAGCCACCAGCAGAGCCAGCAAGGTGACCCCAAAGGCTGCCTGCCAGGGCTCCGCTCTCCAGAAGAAGGGACCTGCAGAGGGACAGACTCAGCCGCCCGCCAGGCAGGGCCCTGGGGTATCTCGGGAGGTGAGGTGACCTCTCTCCCCAAAGGACCCCAGAACTCTTTCTGTACATGATAAATTTTATTTTCTTGAAATGTCTGCCTCTCACATGGAGATACTTCAAATATCAAAAAATATATGTACATAGCAGTGATGTCTCCCCTCCACTCCCTCGTCCCTCCCCCATTGATCAGCTTCTCATTACTCAGCTTAACATGAGGATGAAGGATGTGAACTTTGGGGTCGGAGGGCCTGGGTTCAAATTCTAGGTCTCCTGTCTGACCTGCTCTGTGACCTTGTACTAATGACTTAACCTTTCTGTTCCTGGTGTCCTAGCTGGTGAGAGGATTAAGTTAAAGCTTATAAAGTGCCTGACACACAGTGAGTGCCATGCACGTCTTTATTAAATCTAAAAAACATAAATATATTCTCCTTTTTCTTGCTTACACCAAAGACAGCATCCCTACAAGCTGGGCTGCATCCTGGGTCTCGGGGACCTTTCTGCATCAGCACGGAGAGCAGGTCCGTGTTTCCTCCACACTGCAGCCCAGTGCACAGGAGCCCCCCTGCTGGGCCTTGGCTCGGTCTCTAACTTTTATTATTATAGTTGATGCTCTAAGAAGTAACCTTGTACATGGGCCATTTCATACAACCCAAAGCTGATCTGTCAGATGAAACCCCAGAAGTGGGATTTAGGATCAATAAATAAGTAGTTTGGATAAAGGCTGTTCTATTGTCCCCAATGGAAGATGTGACAATTTATGCCAAAAATATACCAAATTATAGCCACAAACGTCTAAGAGTGGCTGTCCCCCCACCATCCTGCCATCGGCTGTGTTACCAACCACCTTGCTTTTCCTACTGTTGCCAGTCTCCCAGGTGGAACCGGTTCCCTACTCTGTGAGACTGGGATCCTGCTGTGAGGTAATTTCCTTTCCTGTGAACTGATAATTCATGTTCTCGGCTCATTTCCTACGGGGCTGTTTTATGTTTTAACGTGATTAACCCTTTCTCCAAGACGTGGTTGTACTTATATTTTCCCATGTGTTTGCTGATCTTTACCACTTGCCCCCAATTCCTGTTGGGTGTCACAGTTTGTAACATGCAGAAAATATGGAAAGATGTTTGTGACATAATCAGCTCCATGGGGAAAGAAGCAGCCAGGTCCCTGCTCTGTGCCTCATGTTCCCTGCAAAGACCCAAGTCAGCAGCACACAGTCAGGCCTCCTTCCCCAGTGGCCACAGCTAAGCAGAGGGTCGAGCAGGGACTCACCTGCAATGGAAAGCCTGGCTGTCTTTTCCTGGCTGAGCAGGGGATTTCTGATGATACAGGAGATCTCCTTCCCAGAGCCATCTTTCAGGATCACAGAAGATGTGGCTGCATATAGACCTGTGGGATCTGTAGCCACAGGTGAGGCCACAGCTGGCAAGCTCTGTCCCCTGTCATCTCTCCACTCCACTTGGGGCTGTGGATACCAGCCTGCAGACGTGCACTCCAGACGGATCCCTCCATCTTCATGACCCTTCATTTCAATGTGAACATCAGAGCCCAGGGCTGGGGAAGGAAAAGTGAGCCTGATCATGAGGAGTCCTCTGTATTGGTGAGGATCCCATCAGGAACGAGGAGCTCACTCGCACTAGGTACCACAAGCAGGTTCACTAAGGAGCTGTTTACAAAGTGTGTTGTGCAGTAGGGACTGTTCCATGATGTGACCACTACCTGACCATCCCTGGACCTCATAGTAGATCTAGCTAGACGTTGGCCTGAACAGATGTTGTTTCCCCTAAAATCCCTTAGAGACAGCTGGATCCCTCCCCCATGCCCCAGGCCTGCTGGTTCCTAGAACTGGCCCTCACCCTGCCCTAGGCAAGCATGTAAGTCCTTCTCCCTTGTCTGGGGTGGGTCATGTTCCAGTGCTCCAATCTCCCCTGCCTGTCATGCATAAGCCTTAGCCTTTGCCATGTGGTGGAGAGGACATGCATGTTGTACTGCTGCCTAAAATGCTGTTCCTTGTATGTAAGTCACCTTGGTAAACTCTTGATATAATTAATCTATTGATGACACCATTTTTTTCTGGTCTCTGGACTCAGGGAAACTTCCATAATGTTGTGGAGAGGGAGGAAAACCTTCATGGGAGAGAGCTGAGCCAGGGCCAGGACAGTAGAGCTGTTACCACCAGTCCCTAAACTCTTAACCCAAGGAGAGGAGGGAGGAAGCCTTTGAGGACCTGCAAGGACAGAGTCCTATAGGGAGGGCTTTCTTAAGAGGAGCTGTGGTCTCCAGGAAGGGACTGTAGCTGGCTGAGGGGGACCTGCAGGGAGAAAGACAGGACCCTCCACACCCATCTTCCTTCCTCTGCGAGGCTCCTCGGTGACCAGCCCAGGCAGAAGCCACAGGGCAGGGTTGTGCCCTGAGAAAGAGAAATGCAACCCAGTCGGGTGGACGTGAGCGATTTCATGGAACAGCAGCATCAGGCAAGGGTGTGTTATCCCTGTGATGAGTGAGAACAAAACCACCACCACTCAGCCATCGGGTCTGAGCACAGAGAACACGAAGTGTCCAGACCACAGCAGCCAGCAAACCTCCCGTCCTGGCTCAGTGGCCAGTTACATCCCCTCACCATCCCGACAGCATCCACCCAGAGCAAAGCCCTCCTTCCATAAGCCCAACTCCCCTATCAGCCCAAATGTTATGCAAGTCTCCCTGACACCTTCTCGTTGAGACACCCCATGGTTTCCACGTGGGTGCATCTCCCTCACTGCAACACGGACTAAAATCAACCTGTTCAACTACAGGTGTGATCCTGGGCCTTTGGTTAGAGGACCTGGGCAGCACAGGTGATGTCCCTGCACTTCAGCCTCCCTGGACCACAGCCCTGTGCACCTGCAGGGCCCATGGCCACTGTCTGGAACACAGCTGAACCCAATCCACTGTGTGCCCCCCACTGAGGGGAGGTTTTCTCATCCTTCCTACTCCTGACCCCCCTTCCTGCTTAGACCCTGGTGGTCAGCATGAGGGGCTCTTCACCTGACACAGGAGGAACCCTTCCTAGAGGAAAATGTGGGTCTGTCAAGGGCCCCAGAGAAGCAGAGTTGGAGGCTGGGAAACAGTTGTTGCTGAGTTGCTGGAGGTGCTGTGAGGTGGGCTTCGAGCCTCTGTCCCCAGGCCCCATGGCAGAAGGAGCTCAGAACAAACCTCAGACTCACCTGCAACCTTCAGCTCCACCTGGGCTTTTGCATTGAAATCACCATGTTGGAAATAACACACGTAGATTCCGCTGTCAGAGGCTCGGAGGTTGCGAATCAAGAGAACATTCTTCCCCTCAGTGATGTACTGTCTTAAAATGGAAGTTCTCCCTCGATACTCTGGTATCTGTATTTCTTCCTTGCCATGTGCATATGCATACACCACCTGCTTGAGGCTGGGTCGCACCCACATCAGCTCCATGGTCTCNCATCTGCATACGCACACACCACCTGCTTGAGGCTGGATCGCACCCACATCAGCTCCATGGTCTCAGCGCTCATCTCTGGGGACAGCTGACAGGGCAGCTCAGCATCTTCACCCATCATGATCACTATGGGCACAGGGGGTCCAATCACAGCAAACTGAGCTGGTCAGCAGAAGGGGGTGCTCCATTAGAGGGAGCTGGGGCCAGAGTGTAAGGGGGTGTCCCAGGAAGGGAGGGGGAGGTAAGAAACACCTAGGCAGGTTGCCTGACNAGAGCTGGTCAGAAGAAGGGGGTGCTCCATCAGAGGGGGCTGGTGCCAGAGGGTAAGGGGGTGTCCCAGGAAGGGAGGGGGAGGTAAGAAACACCTAGGCAGGTTGCCTGACATCACAGAAGTACAGTCTGGATGGGCCTTCCAGGTGTGGGGAGGAGCCCAAGGTTCTGACTGGGCTCTATAGGTAACACTCCACATACATAATGCAGAACCTTTCCCTACCTGAGCAGGGGGTGAGCAGCTGGACCAAGGCCAGGCACACAGGGAGGTCCAGCAGATGGAAGGCCAGGGACCTCACCATTGTTACCTGCTGAGCAGACAGAGAGGCTCCAGAAGGAGAAATGACGACCTGGAAGATGGAGAATTCCACATGGAGTCTTCTGCCTCCCCAGGGCAGACTCGGGGTGCAACCCCCATCACTGCTGACCCCAGGGCTCCTCTGAGATGTCTGCTTGGGAGTCTTTAACCTTTGATTCCAACGTGGGAAATCACCCATAAAACATGTAACGTGAAATGCGTGTCCCTTAACCCTAGTCACCAGGACATCCTTGACTCCACTGTCCAAATGTGCTCAGAAGCCCTCCCTTACCCACACTTCCTGGGACAGTCAGGTCCAGGCCTCCATCATCACACTCTGATTATGCAGGACCCTCCTCTCTGAGTCCCTGAGTCCACTGGTGCCCCCTACAGTCTCTGCTCAACACCACAGCCAGAACTCTCCTGACTCACACCAGGTCGCCTCTCTACTCAGCCCCTTCCAGGGCTCCCATTTCACTCAGAGCAGAAGCTGAAGTCCTTTGCACCATATAATCTTAAAATTATTTCAATGTTCTAAATTTTTTAAGCTTTTTGAGCAGGGAATATATTTCCACCTATTTTGGGGGCTATTTGTTTTATTTTGTTTTATTGTTTTGATTATAGACAAATTTGAATTAAAAAATAAATTTAAATAATTTATAAAGGTAATTATATACTGTATTTCATATGAATATAAATATTTCTGGATGTATTTTTGCCATAGAAATATACATAATGACTTAAAATGCTTTGTCCTCTCACCCACAAATTCCACTTACAGGAATTAACCTTAAAGAAAAAAAAAACAGGCAGTAACATAAGGATTTATGTTTAATGCTGTTCATCATAGTAAATCTGCAATAACAAAATGTAGATACAATTTAAACACTCAAATTAAATCCAACTTTGTTATAATTATAAATAAAAACCATTTATCTAAAACCATGATTCCTAAACCTACAGCTAAGATAATACTCAATGGTGAAAACCTGAAAGCTTTTCCTCTAATGTCAGGAATAAGACAGGCTGCCCACTATCACCCCTTCTACTCAGCACAGTATTGGAAGTCTTAGCCGCAGTGTGTTGTTTATCCAGTCTCCAGCTGCTGTACACGTATGTTGTTTCAGATTTTTCTATAGCCCAATATTACAAATCATTCTGTAATGAACCTCTTTACATAAACACATTTAAGACACACACCTTGTAACCCTCTCCTCCAGTCTTCTAACATTATTTCTGTAAATGATGACCCGTTGTAACCAATATGTGACTGCACATAAAGCGCCTGTTTGCTTCACAATTCCAGGAACTAATTTAAAGGAAGCAGACTCAGACCTTCAGACATTCCAGCCCCAGGAGATTCGCTGACCTTCAACCAGTTATCTGAGCAGACTGTGTTGGCATGTGCTTAGTGCCCTCAGTGGAGCTCTCTCAACCCCCTCCTTTTGAATCCAATGTTCTGTCCCCCTGTCCCCCCATTCTCTCTCCCTTCTTACAAAAACCCCGGCCCACGTCCCGTTGTTCAGAGGGTCTTTGCAACATGAGTCCACCATCTTCTCAAGCTGCTGGCTCTAAATAGACCTACTTTCCTTCCACCAGTCCCTGCCTGTCCACCAGCTTTCAAGCAGCAGGCAACCGAACCTGGGTTTGGTATCAGCCTTTGGGAATCTCTTAGACCACGCTCCCGGAGATGAGCAGGAGAGACTGTAAGATGCCTCTGCTGCTGTGTGAAGCTCCCTCATTCCAGTGCTCTCACTCCCACAGATTTCCCAGTTCAGGCCTTACCTTGCCCTGCCTGCTGCTCCCACCTGGGTTCCACGGGTAGGCTCAGAGCACCCCACTCCTTCTGTGGGCGAGCATCACCCTGCAGGCTCACCCAGCTTCTCAGCCTCTCTAACAGGGACCTGGGACTCTGCCTTTTACCAGCTGCCCCTTTTACCCTTCGCACTCCCAGCTGAAATCCACAGAACAAAGGCACTGGGGAGGTCCTTATGCTACTTGAGTGTCTCACCTGGAGGAAAGGGTGGGGAAAAGAAAGCTGGCTCATGACTGGAAAGAGTGCAAAGTCCCTATTTGAAAGCACCTGTTATAAAAAATAATGGTAATAACCTTTACTCCCTACTGGGTGCAGGTGTTTTAGACAGATTTCTATCGCAGTCGTGCCTNGTCCAACTCTCCCTCCATCCACCCTGTGGTCCTGCCAGGTTCCCAAGTCTTTGTTTAATGTGAAATCTTTATTGAAAATTTATTTTCACACAAAATGATGTGAAATCTTTATGTGAAAATTTTAAGTGACAATTTTCTTTATTGTGATCCACAGTAAGGAATATATTCTATAATGTAACTCGGAACATGCAAATTTATATATACTGTATGCTCTCATAGTTCCATTTGATTTTGATTTTTAAAAATTGGTCTCTACCGAATATATTGATCTCATAACCCCTCAAGGGTCCAGGACCTGAGGGGGAGAGGTACTGTTCCATGATGATTGTCTCATGGCATAAACACTATGCCCCATGTCCTGTGGGGCGCTGCTTTTGTTGCCGAAAACACAGGAGTTTGACACTCAAAAATGTACCTCCAAAGTATAATTTTGATATGGATTGTTAAAAAATAATTTGGAAAGTTAAGAATGTACTCATTTCTCTTCATGTTAGTGGTTAAGAACCCTTTCATTGGGCATGAGGCAAGGTAGAGTTTTCTGATGCAGGATAAATACATGGGTTAACATTCCTTGCCCACCCCTTCCCATATCTATATATATATATCTCACTACAAACCACACATCTATGGAAAGCACTGTATAGCTGCACATTAGTTCCCTAGGCCTGGCTGCACAAAGTGCCACATACTGAGCAGTTTAAACAACAGAACATTGCCTTCTCAGTTCTGGAGGCTGGAAGCCTTAGCTCCAGGTCCCCACAGGGTTGGTTCAGCCCTGGCCCTAGTTTTGGAGTTTGCTGGCAGTCTTTGGCATTTCCTGGCTTGTGGAGGCATCCCCCTGTCTCTGCCTTCATTCTCACATGGTTCTCCCTGGGAAACATGTCTTGCTCCCATTCCCATAAAGAAAGAAGGTGGGCCAGTCCTGTATTCTTGCCAAATGCAGCAGGTGACAGGACTTCCACTTCCGTGGTCTGTTAGAAGGTCCTCCCTTGATCTTATTGGGTTGTGATACCGTCTCCTGTGGCAAGCCTCATCTCTGAGCTCTTTTATTTCATATGTTAACTACACACAAGTGAGGGAGAGATAAAAGACCAACGTTAAGGAGGATGGCAGATGTGGGAGAATGGGCTTGAGGTTCAGAAGGCCTAAGCTCTCCAAGCACCACCCTAGGGTGTCAGATCCCTTTACCTGCTTAAACAATGAAGATTTTTCTCAGTTAAAAACAAGTCCTGAGGTTAGGATGCAGAGGCACCCTACACCCCTCCTTCTAGTGGTCTTTTCTGTAGTGGAGACACGGGGAGACTAAAAACCATTGTGGGGCAGGTCACAATTATATGAAATTCAAATGTCAGCACCCGTAAATAAGGTTTTGCTAGGACATGGCCAATCCACCCATCTAAGACTCCACTACAAGAGGAGCTCTGGCAGAGACCCCATGGTCCACACAGCCAAAATATGTAATATCTGGCCCTTTACAGAAAAAAGTTTCCATGTCCCAGGGCCAAGTCCCCTCCTCACCAGTCACTCAGTAGAATACAAAGAAGCTGCTTAAGCATGAAAAACGCACAACTGGGAACAGCCTGTGGAGATTATCTGGCCTTTTAATTATTATTTTTNCTGGGAATAGCCTGTGGAGATTATCTGGCCTTTTAATTATTATTTTTTTGTCTCATTTCAGAGGCAATGTAAGTTTTTATAAATTTTTTTATATGGTCTTCCGATTCCCTGAGTGTTGTGGCATCCCTGCTCACTCCCAGGACAGAGGCCTGTATGTGTACAGGTGTGTGTGTGTGGTTGGGTTTGGGATGGGCAGGTGTTGAGGGGGACATAAGCACCCTCTTCCCAAAGCCAAGGACTCTCCTGCAAGTTGCTGAGCTGTAAGGGGCAGGGGAGAGATGGGAGGACACAGGGAAGGACTGGGGGTAGAGAATGGAGCCAGCAGCTGTGATGGAGACTCTGGGACTCATTCAGAAACTTTGGAGTGAGAGACCTGAGGATACTGAGTGAGTCCAAAGCCTTTCCTTTCCCTTGGGAGGTGGCACTGCAGTGCCCTCAGGACCATGGCAGTGAAGACAGGCTTCCTGACTGCCACTGGATGGTCTGGTTGGGCCCAGCACCCCTACACCCACAGGATGCTCCCTTCCTGTGCCCCGCAGATCTCAATCAGGCCATTGTGTACATTTCTTCTAGAAGAATCTTCCCAAGGCACAATTCTTAACATAACTCTTCCGTGTGATAAAAATCCCACTGAAGTTCATCTAGCTCCCTTCTTCCCAAATTTATGTTTGTCTTTTAAGTATGAATTTGAAGGGCTGGTTCGGCTCAGTGATTGCAGGTCACATGTTGGTAAAAAGGTTGGCTTCTAGTCCCTTCTCAGCCCTGTGTGATGTGGTCCCTGTGAATTCATCCCTGGGCAAAGTCATCCTGCACAACCAGGCAGTGAAGCACTGGACCATGGCTCTGAAAGTAGACCTTAGAAAGTTAATGCCTTTCCTGCCCTCTTGTCTCCTTACCTATCATGTGGGAAAATTGAATGAATATCAGAGAAGTGCTTTACTCAGTGAGTTTTTAGCAACTATTTCTTTAAAAAAATATATCTTTATTGATTTCAGAGAGAGGAAGGGAGAGGGAGAGAGAGAGTTAGAAACATCAATGATGAGAGAGTCATCATTGATTAGGCCGCCTCCTGCACGCCCCCACTGGGTATTGAGCCCACAACCTGGGCATGTGGCCTGATAGGGAGTCAACTATGATCTTCTGGATCCTAGGTCAACGCTCAACAGCTGTGCCACCCTTGAGCAGGTGTATTTTCTTGCTGTTAAGGGACCCTGGGCTAAAGCTGAGCAGGGAGAAGCAAAGACATTACTTCAGCCTGAGGGTCCCCATTGCTATCAGCTGAGCCTGAGGCCACTGTGGTCTCCAGGGAAGGGTCAGGCACAAGGGAACTCTCCACTCCTTTTGGTGCTGGGCAAATGGTCAAGGCAGTGGACTCCCTAGTCCAAATATCAAAAACAGGATACAGAGGACGAGAGAAGGAGGTGTTTGTGAAGGTGTAGATATATGATCCACTGAGGGCATTGTAGAATGACACCTCCCCCTTCTCATAGTCCAGGAAAACCCCCACTCTTTGAGGAGGGTTGGCAATTGTCAGTTTAGTCCGGGGGTCTGTGAGAGCCTGGAAGTCATTCCCCTCAGACCTCCCTAATGCCCAGAATCCATTCTCCGGTTTCATTCTAACCCAATCTTTTCTCTCCACATCCTCTCTACACACCCCAATATGCCACTCTTTCCTGTCCCCCACTTCCACCTCCCAGAAATGTCTGCCCGTTGTGAAGCTCTCACAGCCCAGCACACAGAAATTCCCAAAAAATCTCTTGGGAGTGTCTGGCAGCCTCTGCCTGGTGTCTGCCAGCTGCAGGCTCCTCTGGTCCTCGAAAACAAAGAGATTGGGGTGCGCAGTGTCCACATCCAGAAACACATCAGCTGCAGAGGGTTCAGATGGTGTGGGGTCAGCCATGGTGCCTGGACCTCAGAGCCTCAGCCTTCAAGGTCTGGTTCTGGCTGAGGAGCCCTGACCCAGAACCTGGGGTCCCCAGCCTGTCCTGGATGTGACCCTCAGCAATGCCAAGAGAAACAGGAGGTGCCTTTTGTCTGTGGGGAAGGGGAGGCTGAGGAAGCTTGGGGTTTTTAACCTGCCTCTTCTGCTAGTGCCTTCCTTCTACTTTTTTCCTGTTTCCCTCCCCAAATGTCCATGCCCACCTGTGCTGTATAGTCACATAGACTCAAATTCCAGCCCTTGCTCTACCCTCCTGAGTTGGATGACTTCCTTTTTTGCACAGTCTCTTTTTACACAACAAACGCTAGGTAGTATCTTGACTGTCAATTTGATATCTGTAAAATGGTAGTAAAAATACTGATTTCTAGGGTAGAATAAGATGAAATGTGCTATATTTAACCCAAGGCTGGTCATGGAGGAAGTGCTGGGTGTGATAATAGAGACCATGTCTCTGCTGTGCCTGGGACCATGCTTGGAGCTCTATGGGCTCTGGGGTCCATTCCCCAGCTGTCCCACCCTCTCTGGCCCCAGGATGTAGTCCTTTTTGGACAGCATCACTGGGCTCCCTTGCCTCTGGTTACCTGTTGGGTTTGGCCAGGGCAGGTACTAGCTGAAGACTGGGAGCAGAAAGGAAAGAGAGGCACAGCACTGCCTTCCCACCTCCTCCCATGGAGATGCTCTAACAAAGCAGGACTCCTCTCAGGCAGCTTCTCCCTGAGCCCAGCCTCCCCCGGGCTCCCGTGAAGGCTCCCTGTCCCTCTGCTGAAGGGAGGTGACAGCTCCCACTGTTGTGAGCCCTGGGGCAGCATTCATCCTTGGTTTCCCTCAATACCTGCCCCCCCCCCCAGAAGTAGTTCCTTCCCTAAACCTTCATTAATCACTGTGTTGATTCTCTGTGAAGAAAACCAACTCCATGTCTGTGTCATGAATTTCTTTCACCTCTTCATGCTGTGACCTGTGGCCCACCTCACTGTCCTTAGCAAGCACAGCAAAGCCTTTGGGTAATGATTATGTGTGTTCCTTACATGTAGCCACAAACATTTCTGTTAGTAACAGCTACAGTGACATGACTGAGATCAACACCAAACAGGGGATGGTATTGGTTACAAAGAATCATCCATCTCAGGACCACCAGGAGGTTGGTCTGGTGCTACCACATTCTTTGTCCGTTTCTCCTGTCAATCATTTGTACCCAAGTTATACTATAAAACACTATAGCAACAAGTCTGTTAACTGCGAATAATCTGTGGAGATTGTGGGGGCATCTATCTCCTTGGACTCTATACCCCTGAGAGTAAATTACCCCACAATACAGTCTGTTATGTTCTAAGGAGTTGCCAGCATCATTTTTAAGTCTTAAGAACCTTGCCCTTGCCACAGTCATTACCATCAAAGAGCTATTTTGACCAAGCCATTGCTGTTTTGACCAATGCACATTCATTACCTCACCTAGTCTTCACCTCAACCCTGACATAGTGGGAATGACCACCATCATCTAACGAGGAGACTAAAGCTCAGAATCCTTGCACAACTTGAGGACACACAGGCACACAGGGCAGGAGGGGGCAGAGCTTGGTCAGGTCACATCCTCACTCTCTTGCCCCTTCCTCCAGCTTCAGCCCTCAGCCTCCTCCTTCCCACACACACCTGGGGACGCCTAGGACAGCAGCTGCCCCTGGTTCTCTGGGGACTCAGCAGCAGATGGGCCCACCTTGGAGACCAGGACCTCAAGTCACCCACCCAGAACTCTCCCAGTGAAGAGTTAGAGAAGAAAAGGGAGCAGGGCCCTGGGCGGTTGTCCCAAAGGACACACAGTGGTTCACTCACCAGGTTGGTAGGTGGTCTTCAACACTGAAAGGAAGGAGACACAGACAAGGAATGGCCATTAGTTCTGTCTTCCCCCCACCCACTCTCCTCACTGAGCCTCTTCTGCTTTCCTCCCTCTTTTCCAACATCCATTTTCCTTCAAGTACAGCTTGTGGATCAGGCATAAAACCTCGCTGAGTGTTGGGCTCCCCTCCATCACCCTGGGTCTGTGGGCGCCATGGCCAGGCTTTGCCCAGGTGTGGGTGTGTCAGCAGGGTGAGGGGACACTGCATGTGGAAGGTCCTCTCTGGGTGTCCAGAAAGGAGGGGGTGGGACTCCACAGAAAATGAGCCTCTGAGCTGGATCTGATTATCACAGACCAGCACAGAGAGGGGTAAATGCTTCCTACACAGGAAACCAGAGAGGTTGAGTCACTCACCGGCGTAGGCATGAGCCTTCTCACCTGCAAGGGAAGACGGGCAGAGAGTCACCTGAACTGTTATTTTTGAGTCAGTTTCTGTCTCTCCGTTTGCTGGCATCTACTGTTCTGTCTTGACCACACCACCCTTCCTGCCTCTCCCTCTGCCTGTTCCATTCCCTGATCCCCCCTCCTCTTTGAAATCAACTGTATCCAGTGACCCCACAGGCACCGTGTAGGAGCTTTCCCAGCTGTCACCACAGATCTGTTTTGTACGAATCTATACACAGTCACCCTCTATCTGAGGTCTCACTTTCCGAAGTTTCAGTTACGTTCCCTCAACCCCTGTTGGAATGTGTTAAATGGAAAATTCCAGAAATAAACAATTTATAAGCTTTAAATTGTACATCATTCTGAGTAGGGTGATGAAATCTGGTTCCATCCATCTCCAACCTGCCAACGCGTGACCCATCCCCTTATCCAGCAGGTCCACCCTGTGTACCTCCCCCCGTTAGCCACTTAGGAGCCTCCTGAGATCAGGTCAGCTGTCCAGTGTCACAGTGCTTGTGTTCACATCACCCTTATTTGACTGAGTAAGGGCCCCAAGGCCCAGAGCAGTGACGCAGGCAACTCGGGTTTGCCAATGAGGAGCCTTCCTTCAAGTGAAAAGCAAACATCGGGGTACACACAGGGTGTGGAACTATCCACAGTTTCAGGCATCCACTGGGGTCAGGATCCCACCCCTGGGGTAAGTGGTGCCCATCTCAGTCCTGCACCTGAGCACAGGCTCGCCCTGTGGGTACTGGATGGAGATGTGTGCTGGGGTCCATCTATCTCAATCTGCGTTATTTCCCGCCTACTTCCAAATGAATTGGGAAATTAATGAGAAAACTTCAGATGCTATTGTTTTTTCAGCAGTTAAGACAAACCCTGACAGCTGAGGCTGGAGCCACTCCTCTCGCTAGGAGACACTCTCCTCTCTCCTTCTGCTTCCCCTGAGCAGCTACAGATGCGGTAAAGCAGCAGGCGGGAGGGCAGGCTGCACGCACTGAGCCCATCGCTCCCTTTCCTTTCTGGGGCTCCCTGGACACCCCCGTATGAGGGGCCCCTAGTGCAGACAGACCGAAGTCCCTTCCTGCCCTGAGAAAGGCCCCTGCCCCAGGTTCCCCAGATCAGGGCCCTTATTTCTTCGCAGGGGCCAGGAGGGGTGAGGAAGGGGCTGGAAATAGTGGAGCAGAGTCTGAGGTGCGGGTCCAGACTATCACCTGCCTGATACTGGCTGTGTCTCCATTTTGCAGGAAAAATGGGAGGAGCTGGTCACATGCATAACGCAGGGACCCCAGAACCTGCGAGGCTGGTATCAGGACTTACCAAGTTCTTCCTGCAGCTTCTCTGGAGATAAGAAGAAAAAAAAGCCGTGTTATGGGGATAGAGGGGAGGACCCGAGGGGGGTGCCTGGGATGGGGCAGGGAGGTCGCCCTTCCTGCCCCCGGGCTCACCTTTGGCACTTTTCTCTGCCTCCTTCTCCTGCCACAGGACCTGGATTCTCTTCTGCTGTCGCCACAGGAAGAAACCAGCCACCGCCAGGAGCCCCAGCAGAGCCGGCAGGGTCACCCCCACAGCCACCTGCCAGGGCTCCACACTCCAGAAGAAGGGACCTGCAGAGGGACAGACTCAGCCGCCCGCCAGGCGGGGCTCTGGGGTATCTTGGGAGGCGAGGTGACCTCTCTCCCCCCAAAGGATCCCAGAACTCTTTCTGTACATGATAAATTTTATTTTCTTGAAATGTCTGCCTCTCACAGGGAGATAATTCAAATATCAAAAAATATGTATACAAAGGCAGTGAAGTCTCCCCTCCACTCCCTCGTCCCTCCCCCATTGATCAGCTTCTCATTACTCAGCTTAACATGAGGATGAAGGATGTGAACTTTGGGGTCGGAGGGCCTGGGTTCAAATTCTGGGTCTTCTGCCTGACCTGCTCTGTGACCTTGTACTAATGACTTAACCTTTCTGTTCCTGATGTCCTAGCTGGTGAGAGGATTAAGTTAAAGCTTATAAAGTGCCTGACACACAGTGAGTGCCATGCACGTCTTTATTACATCTAAAAAACATAAATATATTCTCCTTTTTCTTGCTTACACCAAAGACAGCATCCCTACAAGCTGGGCTGCATCCTGGGTCTCGGGGACCTTTCTGCATCAGCACGGAGAGCAGGTCCGTGTTTCCTCCACACTGCAGCCCAGTGCACAGGAGCCCCCCTGCTGGGCCTTGGCTCGGTCTCTAACTTTTATTATTATAGTTGATGCTCTAAGAAGTAACCTTGTACATGGGCCATTTCATACAACCCAAAGCTGATCTGTCAGATGAAACCCCAGAAGTGGGATTTAGGATCAATAAATAAGTAGTTTGGATAAAGGCTGTTCTATTGTCCCCAATGGAAGATGTGACAATTTATGCCAAAAATATACCAAATTATAGCCACAAACGTCTAAGAGTGGCTGTCCCCCCACCATCCTGCCATCGGCTGTGTTACCAACCACCTTGCTTTTCCTACTGTTGCCAGTCTCCCAGGTGGAACCGGTTCCCTACTCTGTGAGACTGGGATCCTGCTGTGAGGTAATTTCCTTTCCTGTGAACATTGATAATTTAGGCTCTGGGCTCATCTTCTACGGGGCTGTTTTATGTTTTAACGAGATCAGCCCTTTCTCCAAGACGTGGTTGTACTTATATTTTCCCATGTGTTTGCTGATCTTTACTAGTTGCCCCCAATTCCTGTTGGGTGTCACAGTTTGTAACATGCAGAAAATATGGAAAGATGTTTGTGACATAATCAGCTCCATGGGGAAAGAAGCAGCCAGGTCCCTGCTCTGTGCCTCATGTTCCCTGCAAAGACCCAAGTCAGCAGCACACAGTCAGGCCTCCTTCCCCAGTGGCCACAGCTAAGCAGAGGGTCGAGCAGGGACTCACCTGCAATGGAAAGCCTGGCTGTCTTTTCCTGGCTGAGCAGGGGATTTCTGATGATACAGGAGATCTCCTTCCCAGAGCCATCTTTCAGGATCACAGAAGATGTGGCTGCATATAGACCTGTGGGATCTGTAGCCACAGGTGAGGCCACAGCTGGCAAGCTCTGTCCCCTGTCATCTCTCCACTCCACTTGGGGCTGTGGATACCAGCCTGCAGACGTGCACTCCAGACGGATCCCTCCATCTTCATGACCCTTCATTTCAATGTGAACATCAGAGCCCAGGGCTGGGGAAGGAAAAGTGAGCCTGATTATGGGGACTCCTCTGTATTGGTGAGGATCCCATCAGGAATGGGGGACACATTCACACTAGATACCACAATCAGGTTTCACTAAGGAGCTGTTTATAAAGTGTGCTGTGCAGGGGAGAATGTTCCATAATGTGACCACTGCATGACCATCCCTGGACCCTTCTGCTAGATCCAACTATACCTGGGTCAGAACAGAGACTTCTCCCCCAAGTTCCCTTAAAGACAGCTAAAACCCTCCCCCACTCCCCAGACATGCTGGTTCACGGAGCAGGTCATCACCCTGCCCTTGGCAAACATGTAAGTGGTTCCCCCTAATCTGGGGTGGTAAATGACCAGGTACCCCTATCTCTCCCACCTGTCTTGTGTAAGGTGTAAGCCTTAGCCTTTGCCATGCAGTGGGGAAGACATGCATGTTGGATCGTCGCCTCCAAAGCTCTTCCTTGTATGTAACTCACCTTCATAAACTCTTGATATAATTAATATAAAGTTGACACCCTCTTTCTCTGGTCTCTGGACTCAGGGAAATTTTCATAACATGGTTGTGGAGGGGAGGAAAACCTACATGGGAGAGAGCTGAGCCAGGGCCAGGACAGTGGAGCTATTACCACCAGTCCCTAAACTCTTAACCCAAGGAGAGGAGGGAGGAAGCTTTTGAAGACCTGCAAGGACAGAGTCCTGTAGGGAGGGCTTTCTTAAGAGGAGCTGTGGTCTCCAGGAAGGGACTGTAGCTGGCTGAGGGGGACCTGCAGGGAGAAAGACAGGACCCTCCACACCCATCTTCCTTCCTCTGCCAGGCTCCTCAGTGACCAGCCCAGGCAGAAGCCACAGGGCAGGGTTGTGCCCTGAGAAAGAGAAATGCAACCCTGACTTGTGGATGTGAGCGATTTCATGGAACAGCAGCATCAGACAAGGGTGTGTTGTCCCTGTGATGAGTGAGAACAAAACCACCACCACTCAGCCATCGGGTCTGAGCNTGTTGGCCTGAACAGACATTGCTTCCCCTAAAATCCCTTAGAGACAGCTGGATCCCTCCTCCATGCCCCAGGCTGCTGGTTCCTAAAACTGGCCCTCACCCTGCCCTAGGCAAGCATGTAAGTCCTTCCCCCTTATCTGGGTGGGTCATGTTCCAGTGCTCCAATCTCCCCTGCCTGTCATGCATAAGNTGAAATCACCATGTTGGAAATAACACACGTAGATTCCGCTGTCAGAGGCTCGGAGGTTGCGAATCAAGAGAACATTCTTCCCCTCAGTGATGTACTGTCTTAAAATGGAAGTTCTCCCTCGATACTCTGGTATCTGTATTTCTTCCTTGCCATGTGCATATGCATACACCACCTGCTTGAGGCTGGGTCGCACCCACATCAGCTCCATGGTCTCGGCGCTCATCTCTGGGGACAGCTNCTCTGGTCTCTGGACTCAGGGAAACTTCCATAATGTTGTGGGAAGGGGGGAAAACCTTCATGGGAGAGAGCTGAGCCAGGGCCAGGACAGTGGAGCTGTTACCACCAGTCCCTAAACTCTTAACCCAAGGAGAGGAGGGAGGAAGCCTTTGAGGACCTGCAAGGACAGAGTCCTANTTTGAAGACCTGCAAGGACAGAGTCCTGTAGGGAGGGCTTTCTTAAGAGGAGCTGTGGTCTCCAGGAAGGGACTGTAGCTGGCTGAGGGGGACCTGCAGGGAGAAAGACAGGACCCTCCACACCCATCTTCCTTCCTCTGCCAGGCTCCTCAGTGACCAGCCCAGGCAGAAGCCACAGGGCAGGGTTGTGCCCTGAGAAAGAGAAATGCAACCCTGACTTGTGGATGTGAGCGATTTCATGGANAGTGGACATTAGCGATTCATGGAACAGCAGCATCAGACAAGGGTGTGTTGTCCCTGTGATGAGTGAGAACAAAACCACCACCACTCAGCCATCGGGTCTGAGCACAGAGAACACGNTGAGCTGGTCAGCAGAAGGGGGTGCTTCATTAGAGGGGGTTGGGGCCAGAGGGTAAGGGGGTGTCCCAGGAAGGGAGGGGGAGGTAAGAAACACCTAGGCAGGCACTCCTGACATCACAGAAGTACAGTCTGGATGGGCCTTCCAGGTGTGGGGAGGAGCCCAAGGTTCTGACTGGGCTCTATAGGTAACACTCCACATACATAATGCAGAACCTTTCCCTACCTGAGCAGGGGGTGAGCAGCTGGACCAAGGCCAGGCACACAGGGAGGTCCAGCAGATGGAAGGCCAGGGACCTCACCATTGTTACCTGCTGAGCAGACAGAGAGGCTCCAGAAGGAGAAATGACGACCTGGAAGATGGAGAATTCCACATGGAGTCTTCTGCCTCCCCAGGGCAGACTCGGGGTGCAACCCCCATCACTGCTGACCCCAGGGCTCCTCTGAGATGTCTGCTTGGGAGTCTTTAACCTTTGATTCCAACGTGGGAAATCACCCATAAAACATGTAACGTGAAATGNACCTCCCTAGGGCAGACTCGGGGTGCAACCCCCATCACTGGTGACTGCAGGGCTCCTCTGAGATGTCTGCCTGGGAGTCTTTAACCTTTGATGCCAACGTGGGAAATCACCCATAAAACATGTAACGTGAAATGTGTGTCCCTTAACCCTAGTCACCAGGACATCCTTGACTCCACTGTCCAAATGTGCTCAGAAGCCCTCCCTTACCCACACTTCCTGGGACAGTCAGGTCCAGGCCTCCATCATCACACTCTGATTATGCAGGACCCTCCTCTCTGAGTCCCTGAGTCCACTGGTGCCCCCTACAGTCTCTGCTCAACACCATACCCAGAACTCTCCTGACTCACACCAGATTGCCCCTCTACTCAGCCCCTTCCAGGGCTCCCATTTCACTCAGAGCAGAAGCTGAAGTCCTTTGCACCATATAATCTTGAAATTATTTGAATGTTCTATATTTTTAAAGTTTTTTAAGCGGGGAATATATTTCCACCTATTTTGGAGGCTATTTATTTTATTTTATTGTTTTGATTATAGACAAATTTGAATTAAAAAATAAATTTAAATAATTTATAAAGGTAATTATATACTGTATTTCATATGAATATAAATATTTCTGGATGTATTTTGACCACATAAATATGCATAATGACTTAAAATGCTTTATCCTTTGACCCACAAATTCCACTTACACGAATTACCCCTTCTACTCAGCACAGTATTGGAAGTCCTACCTAATGTAGTCAGAAAAGTCAAAGAAATAAAAAGCATACAAATCAGAAAGGAGGAAGCAAAACTCTCACCAGGTGCAGAAGACATGATAGGACAGATAGAAAAGCCTGAGGACTCCACCAAAGAACTATTAGAACTAATCACTGAACTCAGTAATGTGGCAGGATAGAAAATCAGAAACCTGCTGCATTTCTATACAGCAATAATGAAAAATCAGAGGAAGAATTGTAAAAATCCATTTACAATTTCATCAAAAAGCATAAGTACCTAGGAATAGATGTAACCAAAGAGTGGAAGGACCTGTGGTCTAAAACTACAGGACACTGAAGAAGGAATCGGAAGAGGGTACGAGGAAATGGAAGGGGCACTGTGCTCATGGGCTGAGAGGATTCACATTGTCACATGTCCTTACTGCCTGAAGCAATACACAGGTTCAGAAAATCCCTATTGAATACTCATGGCCTTCTTCTCAATCCTAAAATGTATATGGAACCACAAAAGACCCCAACTAATGGGAGAAACCTTGAGAAAGAGCAACAGTGGAGAAACCACCCTCCCTGATATGAAACTATATTACAAGGCAACACAAATAAAAACAGCGTGGTTCTGGCATAAAAACAGACACATAGTTCAATGTGAGAAATGGAGAGCCCAGAAATGAACCCTGACTTATATGTTCAATTAATCTGCAATAAAGGAGGCAGGAATATACAATGGGGTGAAGACAGTCTCTTCTAAATGGTGCTGGGAGATCTGGACAGATCACTTTCTTACACCACATACAAGACTAAACACCACATTCAAAGCGGATGAAAGATTTAAATGTAAAATTCAAAGCCACAAAACTAGAAGAAAACGTCCGCAACAAACTCTATGAGAACGCTCTGAGTAACATCTTTTTGTATGTGTGTCCTCAGGCAAAGGCAACAAAAGAAAAAATAAACAAATGGAACCATGCCAAGTTAAAAAGTTTTTGCACAGTGAGGGAAATTTTAACAAAACCAAAGGACAACCTACTGAATGGAAGAAGCTATTTGACAATGAGACATGAAATAAGGGGTTGCTATCCAGCGTTTATATATAAACCCATACAAAGTACTGTACAAAAATCCAATCCAAGTTAAAAAATGGGTAGAGGACCTGAATAGACGTTTCTGCAAAGAGGAGGTCCAGATGGCCAGCAGATGGGTGGACTGGAAATCCCTCTACTGTCAGACAATGTTGTTTATCTATTCTCCAACTCTTGTATCTATACACTGGTTCAGATTTTTCTATGTTTCAAATAATTCTCTAATGAACAGCTTTACATATAAATATTTAAGACACACACACATCTCTTTGAAATCTCTTAGAACACATTCCCAGGGTTGATCAGGAGGGACTGTAAAAGGCCTTTGCTTGTTTCTGGCCACAGGAAGTCCCTAGGAACATGCAGTTGTCGAGCTCCTTCATTCCACTTGTCTCCCTGCCACAGATTTCGGAACTTGGGCCTTACCTTGCCCTGCCTCTGTGCTTCCACCTGGGCCCTCACCTGAAGACTCACACTTACCCTTGGCACTTCCAGCTGAAAATCACGGAACGAAGAACGCCAGTATGGTTGAGTCTCTGATGCGGAAGTGTGGGGAAACCGAAAGCTTGTTCAGGACAGGAAACAGTGCAAACCCTCTTTTGAAAGCAGTTGTTTTGTGATTGACTCAGAGCAGTGTCTCATCAGTTGTTGGGCAGAAACCAGGGGCAAGGTTAGTGTGAAGGTACACTCGGTATTGGGTGGTCGCAGTGAGGACCAGCTCCAGCACTGATCTCCACACTCCGTGTCTCTCTGTGTGTTTACCATGTTGACCCACTCCTGGGGGTGGGTGTATGATCAGGTCTTTATTACATACGTCTGCTTTCTTTCCTTTATATCATAATGGACTTAGCAGCAGATCTAAGACAAATGAATAGATGTTAATGTGTGAGAAGAACTTGTATGTTAATTGTATAGTCGTTGTGGCCCTTTGTTAACATTTTTTACAGCAGAGCCCAGTGAAAGTATGAACAGAAAGACACAGAAAAACTACACTCACGACACCTTTTGTGGCACCTCAGATATTCAGGTCTCAGATCTATTTCCAAGTAGTACAATTTTCAGGTTTCCAGAGGCAGTGCTGTCAGGGACCGATGGGCATGTTTTACATTTTTCAGAGAATTTTCATTTGGGGTGTTGCTGAGAAGATTCATCCATTCTCCATCCTTCTCTTTGCTGCATTTGGATTTTCAGGTTATTTATTTCTCCTTGCCTGCAGCAGTCTGTAGCTTCTGTTTACAGTGAACATTGTGTTACACATGCTGACTTCATTGTACACTAATCTTCTGTTTATCTCGGTATCCTTGGTTATTCATCTGATGCCTTGAAAGTTGCAGACATCAGTGCACCTCCCCCTGGGTGCTTCCACACATCTATGAAGCAGAACACAGTTCTGAAATGCCCGAAGCACCAATGTTGTGTTTAAAATATAAATGTAGGAGGCATGCTGTCCCTCCAAGGAGCATGCTCACGCCTATGGACAGAATAAACTGATGAACAAAAGAGACACAGAGACGTGGAAGCAAGCAGCAGACTGACATATATCAGAGGGAATGGGGGTGGGCTGGGAAGAGATTAACCAAAGAACTTCTATGCATAACCCATGGACACAGATAATAACTCAGTAAATGCCTGGCGACAGGGCAGAAGTGGGGTAAAGGGGGCCAATGGGGGAAATATTTTCAACAATAAAGATAAAGTTTTAAAATATGGCTTGCTGCCTGAAATCATAGCAGTAAAATGGGAACATTCCAGTCTTGCTTAGAGGGTCCAGGTGACTTTGACATAGAGAAGTAGCCTAATTTCCAGCGTAGGTCTGAATGTCCAATATGGGATTTCTGGGCAGAACGCTGCATATCTCTTTAGAGTTTCCAAGGAAATAGGGTCCTAGGTTCACTTATTCAGACCTTTACGTCATGCTGGGAGACAAATTGTGTGAAATGGGACAATAAATATAGCAAGGTCGAACTTTCATTAGAGAAACCCTGTATTTTGCAGATAATCTCATTGGCTTTCTGTGTCTGTGTGTGGGGGGAAGGGGTTGAGTATTGTCAGCCAAAAGAGAGATGTCCTCCAGAAATGCTCTTCCTTCCCAGCTGCAGGGATGGTAATGTCTAACTGAGTCCGGGCACCCCCTAAAGGCTCATCCATGCACTGAAAGAAAGCAGAACATGCCTTTCAATCAAAAAATAGACTGTACCTGAGGCCAATTTGTGGAAATTGAGAAGTTTGACTTCAGGATATCCAGTCTCCACTTGGTGTCAGTTTCAGAAGCCCAGGGCAAGGCCCAGGCAAGGCCCTTCTCTCTTACACATTTGCATACTTGAGGGAGTACAGTTAGTGACAGAGGCAGGGGCCCAAACCACAGGTCCAAGGACAAGAGAGACACACACACAGAGACAGAGAAATCACCATCCTCATTCACCCTAAAACTCACTAGTTCTGTTCTGTGACACTGCAGCTGAGTCTTCTGTTTCCACTGTGGGGACTGTGAGTACCCTCAGAAGACCTCATCTGACTGTGCACGGTCTCCACTCCCAGGGCGCCCGTCCCCACAGTCCCTCCCCTGTACCAGCCTATTGCCTAGTCATCAGCTTCACATTAGCGAGCCTTCCAGTTAATTGAAGGAGAAAGGTTAGCCAAACTTACCGTCACAACCCGAGACCTGTGTGTCTCCTCAGGAGCATGGGAGACAGTTTACCAGCCTCCTCTCCTCTGTCCTCACCACTAAACGGCTGTCCTGCTTTTCGCTTTTCGTGTCTGTGTATCCCCAGGCTTTGAATCCATGGGGTCAGGAGCTCAGAGTCCCAGAGAAGCAAAGAGCCACTGACCTGCATACAATGGAACCTTTCCCTTCTGCAGGAAGATGGGCTTTAGGGCCTTGTTTGTAGAACAATGGAAGGAAACCCTAATTTCCCACGGCAAATATCTCCTGACAAAATGACTGGGGCGAGGGGAAGCAGAGTGACTGGGGCAGCTAAAGCCTCAGAAGAGCAAACTGGTGTCAGAGGAGGGAGGTTAGGAAACGAAGGCCAGTGGTTGCCCTGGGTGGCTGCTTAAGGTTTCTGCTGGCTGATCTCCGGTCACTTGTTTAGAAAGGAGCTTGTCTGTCACCTGGAGGCCGACTGCTCCTCCATGGGAGTCCGTGCTTAGCCTATTTTTTGATCCACTGGTTGTGCACCATCTCAGGCAGGTGCAAGTTAGATAATTGCCACTAATTGTTTTCAGGAAGTAGCCCTACAGAGAAGGCTGCTCTCAGTGGGTGAGCTCAGACTCAGGCCACATGGAGACCAGTGTTGGAAGGGAGGGCTTCCAGGGAAGCAACGCACAGCACAAGTAATTAAAATTCACCAGAAACTGTGTTGTTGTTTTTTAATTCTCACCTGAGGATCTCTTTTTATTGGTGAGAGAGAGAGAGAGAGGAAGAGAGAGAGGGAACACGCACTGTCCTGGGGTGGAATCGGCAGACATCTGGCACACGGGAAATGCTGCATCCAACCAAGACACCAGGCCAGGCCATGGCTTTTGAATGAGAAGGGTCCCTTAATGCAAGAAAAAGGAAGAAGGGAATCCTAACGAAGTGAATTCCCCAGGAAGAAAATGAAACCGGACATTACCTGCTTGTCTGCACTGTGGTTGTTGAGATGCCTCTTGCTCTGATTCTCAAGGCTCCGCCAGGTGTTGCAAGTGAAAAGGCTCCTTAGTGAATCATCGACCTGCAGTAACCTCAGCAGGTGATCTGAACACAACCCCTACCTGGGCAGGTCTTTATGGGCACTGAGCCCCAGGCCTGTAATTCTTTAGTAAAAGGTTACCTTCCCCTTAAGGAAGCCCTGTCCACTGTCCTGGGCATCTAGGGTAACACACTGTCCAAACGCCAGAACTGATCCTCTTTTTCAGACCCCTCGGAGCATCATCACCCTCCAAGGAGCACTGGGTCTTGTTAACTCTCCTTTCTCCCACCTTTGTGAAATCCTTACGTTCCCTCCCTCACCCAAATGCAGAAGAGAAGCTGCAAAACTGTCGTTCTCGAGAGCATCTGAGATCTTGCTCCCTCAGTTTCGCTCAAATTAACTGTTATAAAAACTGTCTACAGGTTTCTAAGTCCTACATTGACAGACATGAGAATCCAGTCTCCTGTTAAACCTGACATCAGACTTGCAAAACAAATGAAACAATGCCACATACCTCACTAGCATTTATTTCCCTTTGCAAACAAATTATTTTTAACAGCAACAAAAAAAGTTCTTTATATTAACCTGTAATCAGTTTATTACTGTCATTGAAATAGATTAATAAATACATCTTTAAAGGCTTTCAGTCCAACATAGTAAATATTAGCAGATATAAGCAAGAGCAAAAGCCCTCAGGGGCCCTCAATAATTTTTCAGTATTAAAGGCATCATGAGACCAAGAAGTTGAAAACCACTGGTCTCCCCACTGAACCTGGACCTTGTGATTAACCTGGTTCACTGCTCACCTGCTCAGCCAGGACCTTAAACCTCAGGCCATTCTCAGTGACCCAGAGTGTTTGCTGCAGGGACACCTGGGCCAGGCCAGACCCAGAGGTGTCCTTGTCATTGCTCCTTCTGTCTTGGTTTTTCATCCTTGGAGGCCTGGGGGCTTTACTGGGTGGGCTGGAAATCCGGGGGAGGGTGGGCATGGGCCTTGGATGCTGGGGTCCCCAGCCACCTTAACCACGCCAACAGCCAGGGCTCCTCCCCGCTCTCTGTCCCTCTTCCTCTGTCTCTGAGGTCCAGTGGTGGCTCCTCATCCCCTCAGGTCCTGGTGAATCCTGTTGTCCCCACCTGGAGTCCATGGCGTCTGAAGTCAACGCAAGTTCAATGCCGAACATGCCGCCTGATGCTACAGCAGCAGGTTTTCAGCCTGTGGCTGTCTCCCACTTTCTTCTTGGTTGGGAGCCATGTGGAAGCACTAGTTTCCCTGAGACCGGCCCCTGCCCCATGGTGACAAGCAAATGAGGTACGACAGCAATAGCCTGATGAGGGAGATGGGGCTGGGGACTGAAGAGGGGGTCACAGGGGCCTGTGGTGGAGGCTCTATGATGTGTCCAGAGTAAGAAGGGCCTTTTCCTCTGGACGCTGTGCTGTGGGAAGAGAGATGTCCAGGGCTTCTCTATTCGCCTCTGAGACCAGGGAACTGGTCCTGGTGTCTGCAGTGGGTCCCTGCCCTGTGAAGAACCAGGCCACCCTCAGGCACCGTGACACCCTGGGCCCCTGTGAACGCTGGGCAGATAAACAGGGGGCTGTCATCAGATCCCAGCCTGAAGAAGGGCCTCAGGGGCCCAGAGAAGAGCGAACGGGGACACGTGTAGATGTGCGATCGGTCCCTCATGTTATAGAAGGAGACATCTCCAGACTCGTAGTCCAGGAAGACGGCCACCCGGCGAAGGCGCTCTTTCAGGGGAAGAATCTTTTCAGGGGAGGACAGGACCCGGTACTGGTTTCCAAACATTTCCAGGGTCCAGAAGCCATTCTGAGGAACCAGCAGGGCCTCCCCTTTCCTCGCCACACTGTCCTCACAGACCCCAACAGACCACACCATTACGTTTCGCACCTCCACCTCCCAATAATGCCTCCCTGAGGAGAAGCTTTGGGCTCCCAGGACACAGGGCCGGCAGTCGAATCTCTCGGGGTTGTCAGGCACGCTCTGCCTGGAGGGTCCCCGCCTCATGCTTCTCCGGTCCTCTGACAGGAAGAGCTCGGGATGAGCAGTGTCTGGGTCCAGGACCACATCAGCTGCAGAAGAAGTCCCAGGTTTAGGCCTGGGGTCTCAGAGAGGTCCCAGAAAGCAGGAGTTAGGGGAGACATCTTGCATGGGATGGGATCTCCATGAAGGCCCCTTGATCCCAGATCCCAGCTCACAGATGGAGAACCCCCGAGGCTGCACTTCTACCTGGTGCGTGAAAGCAGCGGGGCCCCAGGTAGAAAATAACTGGGGCTCTCAGAAATGTAGAAAGTTTAGCAAATGAGCTGAAATTAATGGCTCCCACTTTCTCTCCACTCTCAGATCTGCCCCCTTTTCTATTCAAGACCTGTGACCTCTGAGTCTCTCTTGAGTTGGAATCTTTCCAACTTGGCTTAAACCAGCAAAGGGTCCTCTTATTGGTCCTCTGTGCTCCACCAGCTTAACCAGGTGACATCTGACTTAAGTGACTGACAAGGGCAATGTTCAGAAGGTCCAAAGGCGGACAATGTCCCCACACGCCAACCTGCCACCTGAGAGGTGCGTCTGGCAAAAGGTGGGGGAACTGTTTCCACCGGGCTTTGCTTTGACACCTGGTCTGAAGTGACCTCTCTGGGTGCAGGAAGTACTCCAGGCACCTGAGGTTCTGCGGGCCTCCCCCACCTGCAGCTCTATCACTGAATCCACCTACAGTTCCCTTGTGTTAATATGGTTTTCTCCTTTCCCCATGTAGGTATTTCTGACAGTGACAATTGTGAAATTCACCTAAAGAGTAAAGGCCCAAGCATCATGGCATCTACTAAAACCTGGATTCTCTGGTGCCTGTGAGCAGAAGGGGATGAGTCACAAAATGCAAGGTGCTCATCAGGGGAGGCAAGTGGAGGCTGTAGGCTCCCTCGTGCCCTGTCCCTGCCCCTCGCAGGCTGTGCACAGCATCAGTGCCCTCCTGGGGCACCTATCTGTCCAGCCCTGAGACAGGCTTGGGACAGCTTCCTGCCTGTCCCACCCAGAACTCCTCACTCTGCAGCCTGGACCGTCTCCCAGGTTGTGACTACCTCAGCCAGTATTGTCTTCTTTCAAACTAATGCAGGATCCAAAGAGCAACAGCTACTGAAACAGAACTGTGGGAAGGTCCACTCTGTGTGCTTGGCCTCTGGTCATCATGGATGAAATTATACTAAAAAATGAGGGTGGGAAGGAAGCCAAGAGCTGATCAAGAGCCACGGAATTCCCTGTGGGAAGAGCTGGGATCCTGCACGGGGTGGGATGCTGCTAGTGAACTGGCCCAGCCCCCTGTCCCCGCCCACTGTGGCCCCTTGTGCCTCTCAGCTCAGGTGTCCCTTTGGCTGGCTAGTGGGGAGGAAGCTCTGGGACATGAGGGACTGTCAGGGGTGCTCACCGGCATGTAAGAGGCCTCTTCTCCATCCTGCAAGGGGACAGACAGAGTGAGTGAGCTTCAGGAGATAACAGCAACCAACAATACACATTGAGCAGGGAATCATTCAATTCGGGAAATGCTCAACTCACGCAATTCTTCTTGAAGTTGCTCTGAAAAATAAACAGAAACAAATGAATGTCTTCAACAGAACTAGAATTTAGCCCGTATTAAACAAAGGTCTAGCCCTTTCTGTGAAGCCAATATCCCATCCCCCACAGGCAGGGAACTGTCCACATTCCAGAAATGATCAGAGGACCAGGTGGCTGGATTATCAGTACTTATTTAGGTTGGCTTTCTTTCAACAATATGAAAGCGAGCTGGAGGGGTAGTGACTGGGACGCAGCTCCAAGGCCTGACTGCTGTGTCTCTGGTTCTCTGTCCCCCAGGCTTCTGCTGCCCGAGCTGTGTCCTTGGAATGACCATGAACTGCCCTGTTACTCTTTTACCTTTTATTGGACGTTCTTTCTCTCTTTTCCCACACGTTCCTTCCCCAGTTTCTTACGTGCAGTTTCTTTCTCTTCATTTTCACAATCTTTTTCCACTGATGGAGATCCTTTCTCCCTGCGGAGTTTCGTGATGAGACCGATGCTCCCAAGGATGACAGTGAGGAGCACAGCAGGCAGGATGACGGCCAGGACCTCCATCCAGGGAAAGGCAGGCATGCTGGGGATAGAGGGCTCTGGAGGAGGCCAGGAAAGTCCCAGCGAGACAAGGGAGACCGCCCCTGAGATTCACATCTGAGGAGCTCACTCAGGTGCGTGCTCTGTCCCCTTCTCCCTCAGAAACCCACAGTAGTGGGCACAGCTGGGGGCTGATGAAGCCAATTCCTATACAGGGACCCACAAAAAAGAGGCCACCCCAGCGGCCCATCTCACAAATCCACACTTACATCAGCCTGCATGGACTGGAAACGCCCCATGGTCAAGGACAACTAAAGGACACCTGTCCTAATCCTCCCCCTCAGCTTCAGCCACTCACCTTCCTCTGGAAAACACACCTACTGCCTTACAAGGAAACCCCGGCCTCCTAGTCAGTCGTGCCCGTTTCCACCTTGGTAACCCTTGCTCTTACCCAGAATCCCTCAGGAAGAGGCTCCCCTGCTGGTGAGGACCTGCACCCTCCCCCAATCCAAGGATGGTTTTCCCTTGAACAAGGGACGTAAAACTCGTTACTAAATTGTTTTAGTTTTGTCACTTGACAGGGCCCAGAAGACAGAAGACAGAAGTATGTGGAGCCACCATGGGAAGGACCAAGATGAGGAAAGCCAACCACCGCCACCATCCTGGCACAGCCACCATCACTCTTGTCTGGGCACTGCAATGCCCTCCTCCTTGCTTCTGCTCACATCCTATGCAGTCTGTCCTCAGCAAAGCTGTTTCTGTGAGATTATCTCTCTGCTCAAAACCCTGTGGGGTTTTGTATCTCCTTGAGACTAAAAGCCAAGATCTACTCGTGACCTACATTGCCTCATGTGGCCTGGACCCATTGCAGATCTGAATTCATCTCCTCTGATTCTCCATGAACTCAATCCATTCCATCCACAGTGGCCTCTTGGGGTTCCTTGAAACTGCCAGACATGCTCCTGACTCAGGCCCTTTGCATGTGCTGTTCTTGCCACTTGGCTTGCTCATTCCTCAGTTGCCCACCTGCCATCTTTGCATTGAAGCCCTTCCTTACCATCCTGTTCATAATTACAATTCCCCTTCCCCTATCCCGCCCTGCCTCATCCCCTCATTAAATTTTGTACAGAACTCATCATCATCTGATATAAAAGTTAACTGATTATTTTACTCCTTGCTTTAATTGTTTTATTGATTACCCTCTGCTTCCCTAGAATGTAAGCCCCATGAGGTTAGGGATCTTCATGTATTTTGTTCAGTGATTAATCTTTGGTTTCTAGAACAGTGCCTTGAACATATGTGAGCCTTGCTAAGTATTTGTTGAATGACTTTAAGAATGTTTGTAGATCACCCGGCCAGGTGTGGCTCATCGGTTGAGTGTCAATCTAGGATCCAGGCGATCGGGGTTCGATTCCTGGTCAGGGCACATGCCCGGGTTGCGGGCTCGATCAATAACTCTCTCATCATTGATGTTTCTATCTCTCTCTCTCCCTCTCCTTTCCTCTCTCTGAAATCAATAAAGATATACTAAAAAAAGAAAGAATGTTTGTAGATAGACAGACGATCCCCAGTTCTGTCCTTGGAAAATCCCATGAACAGGAGGCGAGGGCTTCAGCACACAGCACCATCAGGTGTAGACAGCTACCTGCCCTCTGCATGTTTTGTGATTGTTCTAAATGTTTAAAAATTGCTGCAGGATCAGAACCATAATGGGGGAAAACTATCAGATTTACCCTCGGATAAGAGGCTCCTCCTCAAGTTTTGAGACTACCTGATGTTCCCCTTGTGATGAGGGGAGAGGCCTCAGCTCAGCTGCAGCCTGAGTTCTTCAGGGCCCAGGACCCACCCCAGCCTCCATCAGTTCCATTTAAGTTCCCATTTGTCTGCTGAGGATCCTGCCTCCATGGGCTGGAACTAACCTGGAATGAAGATCACAGAGTCTTTCTCCTGGCCCAGCAGGGTGTTGTTGATGGAGCAGGACATGTTTCTCACAGAGCTGTCCATGATGATCACGGCCATGGTGACCCTAAAGAGGCCGTCTGTGCCCTGGGTGTAAGCCTCTTCCAGGGCGGGCACAATCTCACCATAAGGGTCCCTCCACACTGCTTGGGGCTCTGGGTACCACCCTTCAGATGTGCACTCCAGCAGGATACCCCCATCCTCATGGCCCTTCATTTCAATGAAGGGATCGGATCCCAGGCCTGGGGACAAAAATCTGGTGGTGTTCGGGGGGCCTGAGATTTGGAGAGAAACTTTCCCCAAGGGTCACACTGTGAAAAAGCCACCAAACGATGTGAAACCACGCACCTGCCACCAGGAGGTACATGACAGCCTCGTCGTAGGACCTGCCTTGTTGGAAATAACAGCGGTAGCGGCCACTGTCGTGGGCCGTGACTTGGTGGATGATGAGGGCCACCCTCCCCCTGCTGATGTCTTCACTCACAAGGGTGGTCCGTCCTCGGTACTGCTCCATCTGCTCCTCTGGCCTCTCGCGGCCACCCTTGTACACCAGCACTGCGGGCGAGAACTGAGACCGGAACCACCGCACCTCCATGTCCTCAGCACTTTTCTCAGGTGACAGGTGGCAGTGAAACATGGTGCTTTCTCCCACCATGGCCAGGATGGGATCAGCTGGCCCCACGACAGTAAACTGGGCTGTTGGACAAAGGGGCAGAATCAGGCAGGGCACCAGCTGTGCAACATCCAGGGCAAGAAAGGAAGTGGCTGTTCCAGGGGCAGCTATTCCTGGGCTGAGCATTCTGGGGCCAGCAGCTGTGGCTGGTTGGAGCAAGAGAAGCCTGGTAAAGGCCCTGGCCCCGTAGTCCATTTGGAGCCTTATCCCAATATGCCAAGGTTGTGGGTTCGATTCCCCACATACAAGGATCAAACAATGAATGCATAAATAAGTGGAATAACAAATCTCTCTCCTTTCCTCTCTAAAGTCAACACAATACAAAATTCTTTTTAAATAACTAAAATAAAAAGAGAGAGCTGTCCAGTCAGCATCTACTGAGGCTGCTAGTGCTTGGAGAACAGAGCCCAGAGAAGCACACACTGAGCACCCACAGACCCTGTGCTGGCAGGGGTTTTCTCCTGTTCCCCAGGCCAACCCGGTGCCTGGAGGGAAGGTGGAACTGGAGCTGTCCAGCATGGTAGCCACCGGCCGGGCCCAACCGAAATGTGCTGTCAGTGTGAAATGCACATACAAAATTTGAAAACTTGGAATAAAAAAAGAGTTAAATGTCTCATTCATAGTTTACATTAATTAAAAGTGTGAATGGTAATATGTTGGTTATTTGGGGTTATTTGCCTTTGAACTGGGCAGTGCTGGTGCCAACCCGGGCGCAGGTGCAGACGGAAGGAGTGAGCACAGCCCCAGGGGACAGTGGGCGGGCGCCAGAGGCAGCGGCTACCTGAGACCAGAGCGGACAGGCCGAGGAGCGGGAAGCAGAGCAGGGGGTCCGGCAGGGGCACGGGCGGGGAAGCAGCCGGCTCCATGGCACCGGGGACCAGCCACCCAGGGGAGGCCTCGACCGCAGGCCCGGGGGCGCAGACCTGGGGAAAACGCCAGAGAGACTTGGCACCACAGTGCTGATCGAGGTGCGTCCCTGTGACCCGGGTCGGTGCCATCACAGCCCCCGCCTGTGTCCTGGGCACCACCTTGCTCCCCCGGCTCAGGCATCTCCCCCAGACAGACGCAGGAACGCTCCCCGCACAAGCCAAGGAGCCACGGCCCCCTGCGCGGCTCCCCC